AAAAAAAAAAAAAAAAAAAAAAAAAATATATATATATATATATACACACACATATATGTATATACACATACACATATTACTCTGCAAATATATACATTATAACACCATAGAAATCTTAAAGTGATAAAAAGAAATAGAAGTTTAATAGTATCATCTTGCATCTTGATAAATCTTTGGAGATTCATTTCTGCATGGACTGTATTCCTTTCCCTGTAGCAGCAACAGCTGCCAAGCAGGCCACAATATCCATATCTGCATGTCAGGGACACAGTGATTAGTTGAGACCAAAACATGTCTTTTTTAAGGTAATGAAAATAGCAAATTGTTATCACTTCTTATTAGCTCATTGAGTTTTGAAATAACATGATTCAGATTGGGTCTCCAAAAAGAATTGGTATACGTGTATCTCACTCCAAACAAAACTAATATATGGAAATAGATTTGTATTTAAATACAACTATAAGCTTTTTTAAAAATATAGAAAGTGGTAATATAGACACCCATGTAGACCTTCGTGTGCCAAAAAGATTTTTAGGAAGTACTTAACAGAGTGGTTCTTTGGCATGAATATTTATCGTTAATTTTTTTGTAGCAGAAGTGTCTATACATTCTCTTTCTTTGAATTTTGTAGTAGGTGATTGTTAAAATTGGGTCTTTCCATTCTCTTCAGGTGGCAGATTCATTGGCTGCATTAGATACAGTTGTCCAGGAAGATCTTTCTCTTCTCTTTTCAGGTAGTAGAGTCCATGGATGCTTTAGATACCGTTGTCCAGGAAAGAGAAGATGCCATAAGGCTTCTTCAGACTGGTCAAGAAAGAGCTCGACCTGGTGCTTGGAGAAGAGACATCTTTGGAAGAGTCATCTGGTATGTAGTTACATTGTGGCTCTTCTAAAATGAGAGTAAAATCCATGCCTCATTCCGCTGCCCAATATCTTTAAAAAAAAAACTTGCAGCATATGAGATAACGTTAGAGTTATGTCTAATATAAAAAGAGGTCCCACACCCCTTTTGGACCTTAATGAAGGTGAATATGAGTGAAGGTAGCTTTATCTGATAAAACCAGCCTAGACCTCCCATTTCCTGTGATTCAGTTATCTATAAGTCTGTATTGTAGTCGTTCTTAATCTTTTTTTTTTTTTTTTTGGAACTGAAAGGTCACACATATTTATTACTGAACCCAGGCAAACAAAGCCTTCTTTTTTTTTTTTTTTTTTTTTTTAACATGAATAATGGAAGCACTGTGGGTTGTACTAACTAATGCCTTCATAACAGATCCAGAGAGGAAACTGTTCAAACTTCTCCAGATAGTGGTGACATTTTTCATCTTGATTTGGTAACACGATTGTGACCTTCGGACAGCATAAATATGTGTCCATCTCATGTGTAATTTGTTATAGACCCAGCTGGGTTCTTCTCCAATGTCTCCTTTTGGAGTTGTACCTGATTTTATTACCAGTTTTCATCCGAATCCACTGGGGAATGGGACGATTTTGCTTTTGTTTCTTGGCCAGGAATCGCTTAATCCTGAAAGTCTTGTGAGAAGACATGGCGAGAAACAGAGTAAAGCACACGCCACGATGGCGGAGAAAGGAAGAGAGTGTGGTTCTTAATCTTACGTGAATCACAAGACCTTTTGAGAATTTGATGAAAGTTAATTGATAATTTCCCCAGAAGAATGTACGTGTACACATGTCACTTCAGAAGGTGTAAAACCCATGAAGCTAACATCAGGACACACATCTGTCCTCTTTGCCCCTTGAGAACCTGGAACTATTTTTTTTTAAAGTCTCAGGGAATGTCACATGAACCAGTTTCAGTTTGCTCCCATTGCCATCAGGATAAGCCCTACAAATAATGAAATAGTTTTTTTTTTATACCTCCTTGTTGCTCCTGCATCCAAATCCCACACTCTTGTCAGCCTTCGGGAAAGGATTTGATAATTAACAGTCATGCTGAGGCATAAATAACTGCGAAAAGCTGGTGTAAATAAACCTCCTTCTGAAGTGAGGCTGTTCAACCCAAAGGTAAATAACCCCCCCGCAGAAGGAATTTCATTTACCTTTGGGATGAACAACCAAGATGAAGCATCATTAGACTTTTAACGTAGGCAGAATGGGGAAGGCATTTTGCTTAGAGCCCTTCCCTGTACTCTTGACAGTATGCCACTATGACTCATTTGGTAGGTTCTTTTAATGGAGTTGGTAGTAACAGGGCTGCTTGGAACCAAATTGGAGAGCGTATGCTGTCTATAACCAGTAAGTCCAAAACAGAAAAGAGAGGAATTGCCAAAGCATCTCATTAAGAGCATTTATCTATTTTATTTTCTACTAATTTTTATTTGGACTAACCCATTTGAGGTAAATTAGGAAAGTGAAATTGTATTAAATGTTTTCTTTAAGGCAAGTAACTTTTTGCCTTATTGGCAGGCACAAGTTCAAGCCGTGGCCTATACCTTGGCACCTAAATAAAAGATACAATAGGAAACGATTCTTCGCAATGCCTTATGTGGACCGTTTTCTCAGGTGAGCACAAGTACCCTTAATAATAAAACATGTTATCTTTATACCAGATGACATACGTTAAGCTTTCTTTAAATTTTAATTTCTGTTATTACATAAGAAATTTAAAAAATAGGAAAGTCAGGTAGAAAGAAAAATTGAAGTCATATATAAGCCCACCTTCAGAAAAGCCACTGTTGGCTAAGCACAGTGGCTCATGCCTGTAATCCCAGCACTTTGGGAGGCTGAGGCAGGTAGATCACTTGAGGTCAGGAGAGTTCGAGACCAGCCTGGCCAACGTGGCAAAAACCTGTCTGTACTAAAAGTACAAAAATTAGCCAGCCGTGGTGGTGTGCACCTGTAATCTCAGCCACTTAGGAAGCAGAGGCACGAGAATCGCTTGAACCTGGAAGGCGGAGGTCACAGTGAGCTGAGATTACACCACTGCACTCCGGCCTGGGTGACAGAGTGAGACTCTGTCTCAAAAAAAAGGAAAAAAAAAAAAAAAAAGAAATAGCCACTGTTAACATTATAGGACGTATCATTTCAAAAGTTTTATTCCCTTTCTATTCTTCTATCTATATGTATATAGAAAACTTTCTACTGTTATATGAAAATGAAGGCCCAAATAATTCAACTGCATATAATGTGACTTCATGTTACTGCAAGGCTGTTAAAAAGAAAAGGGGCTAGGAAGAGAAGTCTGTTGTATTATATCTAAACTCATGAAAAGATAAAAATAAACTCATGTTATCCTGAAGAATGTTGATCTCCAAATATTTCCTCCAGCACATTTTTCCTTCATGAGGTTGTAACAGGAGTGGCCGCGAGAAACAGAGCTCTCGAACACAGAACGGGGAAGGAAGGGGTTTATTATTACGGCCGGGAGCCGGGCGATGATTTATCTAAATCCAGCTCGTCCAACAAAGAAAGGTTTTGCCTTTATATAGGCTTACACTCTAGATATTACACAAGAAAGAATCTTAGGTTTACAGCCTTAGAAATCACGAGTGAAAGGGTTTTGGATTTACAGCTTTAGGAATTACATGTGAAAAGGTTTCTGGGTTTACAGTTTTAGAAATCACATGTGAAAAGGATCTTGTTTAAGTAAAAACAGTGTCTTCCAGAGAGTTTCCCCAATACCAAGCGTGTTATTTACAGGAAGGTGATTCAGGAGGTGCCAGGTGGCCAGCCTTTTCTTCTATTGAAATGCAGTATGGAAGTCAAGGGGGAGGTGATCCCAGATGCCTGGGTCTCCTTCGTCAAGGTTTATCCCGGAGTAGGAAGAACACAGGGCTTCTGTTATGACAGAGGAGTTCAGTGTTCCCATGAACCACTCGCTGATAACTATACAAACTTCAGATTTTTTTTTAAAGAGCTATTTTAAATAGGATGGAGTTTTAAATAGGATGGAGTTTAATACCCAAAAACTGCAAGTAGAAGGGAAAAGTACAGCAAGCTTATGGTTTCCTGGGCCAAGGGTGCTACTCAACTCCCATTGCTGTGGCTCGAGAGAGAGACAGGGCAGAGGAACCAGAGCTCCGGCTAAAGGTGCTAGAAATAGAATTCAAAGCTGGGAAAGCAGCTGGAAAATTAAAGGGGAAATTGTAGCAGCACAATAGTAGCACAAGAACCACAGCTTTTAACGACTCTCTTGAATAATACATTCTACTTTTAGCAAGTTCCTCGAAAACCAATTTTCTCCCCCGAAAGATTTTCATACCAAAACAAACTTGTAAAAACAATTTAAACAGGAATGCAATCTGTCTCTAAACTTGGCTCTAAAGTGTTTAATGTACTTTAGAATCACATTTAAAATTACTCATCTTCCCCACCGAACCAGCTACCCCTGTCCTCACTTAATCTGTAGAATGCCCAGTCTGCGTGGGCACTAAACCATGTCTTCTTCATCACCACTGCTGTGTATGTAATCAGTCCTAGATTTCAATCTTGCTGCCGAACGTCTCCAGGATCTCTTCTCCCACTGCCTTGCCCTGGGGCAGCGTCTTCAGGTTGAACTGCCAAACGTGTTCTTTACTCCAGTCCATTCAAATACTGCCTCCTGGCTCATTTTCCTCAAGCATTTTTTTTTTTTTTTTTTTAAATCACATCAGTGCTGTTCAGAAACATACAGCAGCTTCTTGTCTACAGGATAAAATTGGAAACTCTTTTCCTCCCGGCATTCCTGCAAGTCTCAGCTACCTACTCTTCGTCAAAGTTGGAACTCTTGCCTTGTTTCCTAAATGTTCCTTGCTCATTTTCCACTTGTGCTTCTCCTGTTGCTACAGCTTTTAAGTCTTTCCTATTCACATTTAAGACCTAGTTAAATGCTAAGCAATGGAAAAAATCTGACTACACTGTTATTTTCTGAGATTGCTCCAAGCCGTGTTGTGCTCTTTGATCCGTTTGTCCCTTAGTCACATGGTGAAGTTGTAAATAACTTTAAAAATAATGAGAAATGTCAATCCAGTATCACTTTATAGGTTTTATACATATTCTAATGATTTTGTTTTTGAAACTACCTTTTCTAGCCTCACCATCAGAGAATGTAGCATCATCTTCTGAGTATTCATAAGAATAGCAAAACTTTTTCCTTTCAGATAGTTTCTTATGTTTTGTAAATGGTCAAAATTTAGTTGGAGCAAAGATTGATGAATAGAATGGGTGATCCCATTTTGACTTTGTTTAGTCTTTTTTTTCCCTGTGTATGTGCGTTTTTACTTCACCCAGCTGTAATACTTATCTCAAATTTCCGTGACCTTTCCCATAGTACTAGCATATTGTATTATCTTTTTCCCAAAAAACTAGTAACTTCAGCAGTACATCTCTTTGTTATATTTATATAAGCTTATTTCTATTCATCAATATCCTCTAAGATAGGAATTTAAATACAGTAGAGGCTTGGTATCCAAGGATTTTTCATTTTCAATTTTTACAACTCCTATGTTGACAGGTCAAGTAAAATTTGTGATTTGTGCAGATGTGTTGTGTCCTGGGATACTGATGTGTGGGAACAAACTCATTTAAAGAATAATCTAGCCACAGCCTAAGAATCATCTCTTAGCAAGGTGTTGTCTTTCTGTCGTGTTTTAGAAACCCTGTAATTTTATTGAGCACATTAGATTTTTGACATCCTGAGATATATCCTGAAACTTGTAGGAATTCCCTACTTTCAAATGCTACTCACTGTAGCTTATCATTTCCCCTATAAACAGAGAGAATAACACCTGCTAAGAGATGAAGCTTAGTCATATCAGGATTGAATTTAAGGCCCAGTCTGTTACAGGTTCATAAGATCTGGACATTCATTCTAGTCAGGAAATAGGGAGGGATAGTTGGTATAGGGTTTCAGATGCTCTTGACTTGTGTAGGTTTACAGTGATTACTGTTTAAGTTTAATAATATACAGAACACACCAAATACAGAGGCTGGCGTGTTTGAGGCTTTGATGTAATTGATTTATGCATATTTTGATAGTATTGAATAACAGGGACATACTTTTGTATAAATTGCTGTTATGCTCTTTTAATTCTAGACTGGAACGTGAGAAACGAGCCCGCATCAAAGCACGGAAGGAAAATTTAGAGAAGAAGAAATCAAAAATTCTTCTAAAGAAGTTTCCACATCTCGCGGAAGCCCAGAAATCAAGTCCTGTCTAGGATGTCTGAACTCTTAAATTTACCATTTTGTTTTTCTTGCATAAGTCTGTGTATAATAGTAAATAAATATGTTAAGTGGTTTATAAAGAAATTCTGTTTTTAGTCAAGTAAGTGACTTCACTGATTAGTTGTTCTAAGTGTTAATATGGCATGCTAATTAGCTAATTTGGTAGAAGCTAATTTATTTTCTAAAAATCAAGTATAAAGTTCAGATTAAATTCCCAGTTTATAATTTCTGACATTTAAGCAGGCTTTAATGTCACCTGCATAACTGCCACACCAAAGGCAATACTGTAGTTTCTGAACTTGGGTAACTATTGTTAATAGGATATGAAGAGGATGTGGGTACTGCTGTTAATAAACAGTACTTTGATTCAAAGTAATGATAATACATTTAGTCCTTCAAGTAGTAAGTCACAATGTACAACAGTCCAAAAAATATTTCTGGAATGGCTAATTTTTATTTAATTATGTAAGCCTAAGGTAAAAAGCATAGGCAGTAACTTTTACTAGTCAATAAAAAGCAATCCTACCAATCCACTGGTAATTCATATACTAAACAGAGTTGGAAAGCATTTTACTGAAAGCAAAATATTTAGAGAAAATAGACATTTATACAAAATTATAAAATGCTTGTAATAAGAATAAGTACATTTCAAGGAAAGCACAAACTTAATTTATAGAGCCAGTTAAAGCCTTAAAAAATTTAAGTGGAAATTGAAATATGCAAAAATGTACAAACATTCTACAAAAGATGGTCGTTCTTTTCCTGAGTATACTAAAGCTATGAAACGTAAGGTGACAAAGGAAGGTAGAAGCTTGGGAACTCTTTCTCAAGGGCATTTTCTTTCTACACACTGCTTCCCTCCTTCTTCATATTCTTGTTTGGAAATCCACATCTGCTGAAAGGTACCCTGTAAAATGGAAAGAAATTTATATAATTAATAACGGCTTACTTCTTACTAGAAACGGCTTTTCTTTTTATTTTTTGAGAGAGGGTCTTGCTCTGTCAGCCAGGCTGGAGTCCAATGGCGTGATCGTAGCTCACAACAACCTCTAGCTCCTTGCTTGGTTCAAGGGATCCTCCCACCTCAGCCTGGGACTCCAGGGGCGTGCCACCATGCCTCATTTTTAATTGATGTCGGGATGGGGTCGCACTCTCTTGCCCAGGCTGGTCTTGTACTCCTGGGCACATGCGATCCTCCTGCCTCAGCCTCCCAAAGTGCTGGAATTAGAGGTGTGAGCCACTGCACCAGCCTTTTTTTTTTCTTGTAACATCTTATTTGCACAACTCCTAAACTTTGAAGAATTCATTTAAGAATCCTGTCCTCCAAAACAGTACTCAAGTATTCTCTTCTTATTTCTGCCCTCCTCCACAACCATCTAAACACAGCCTTGCCTTTATGGTTAGAAAGAATACTAAGTTCTTCTGTATCTGTTACACTGCACAGGATTTAGAAAATACTGGCAAGGAAGACTAAGGGTTTAGGTATGACGGCTTGATGCCACCCTAAGGCAATAACGGGAACTGTAGGAAGGCTTGACTGAGTACTTAATGACATTGACTTTTGTTGCTCTGAGGTAAAGTGTATCCTCCCCCTTTATATACAGTATATATGTAAGTATACCATGCACAGATATATGTTACCGTATATAAAGGGAGAAACGCTCTAAGTCCAGGATGCAGAAAAGTACCAGGAGTTTTTCTCCTTAGTCAAGGCAGATGGTAGTCCAAGCAACATCTTAGACCCAGCACCATGACTTCACCATTTGCTCCAACCAATTCCTGTCTTCCTGTATTCACTGGGAGACTGGGAATGACCAGAACTTGAGAAGGAATTATTTAATTTTAAATGCACTCCAGACAAGCCCTGACCAGTGCCAGTGGGGGTGCTATTAGAAAAGGTATGCATACATTAACGTATTTCCATCTCTTTTTGAGAAGGGAAATTGAAATTAGGGTGACAAATGTCCACTATTTAGACAAAGAGGCATTCTGTTACATCAGAACACATAAAACTGGTTATCCTATTAGGTCCTCCACTCATTTGACAGTTTTAAAATGCAAAGATAAATGAAGCACTGGAATTATTTTTAGTATTTTTACTAAATTTAGTATAATTCAGTAAGAATATTTTTGCAAAGTAGCTCATTCACTAACCAAGGAGGCTAGAATGGAGCCACCAATCCAGGAGCTAAACCTCCGTTCCACCGTTGTATTATTTGCAATCAATTTCAACCGCATACTCTGAAACAGAGAGAAGAATGCACATTATACAATCAAATCTTGTGACTCAACTTAGGAAATTCCTTTTTCTTTTTTTTTTTTTTAAATAGAGACAGGGTCTTGCTCTCCATATTTTCCAGGCTGGTCTTGAACTTTTGCAATTAAGCAATCTGCCCATTTCAGACTCCCAAACTGCTGGGATTACATGCATGAGCCACTGCACCCAGCCAGGAAATTCGATTTTGACAGACTTCTTAATGGTTCCCTGTAGTTCAAACACTGACTAATTTTCAAATAGCTAGGATAACAAGCATAGGTTAGACTAATGTATAGATTTTTTAAAGTACTTCGATTATGGCTTTTAATATGCAATTATGTGATGAGAAAACATACAAACTTTAGAAAAGTGCATACTGAAGTGTAGCATTCACAATTTCTATCCTAAAAGAGCAAACCCATACCTAACACTATACATCTGGTACTGTGCTAAGACTTTATGTATTATTTCATTTCATCTAACCCAAACAATTATTTATTTTTTTAGAAAAATTTAATCTTTGCATTTTAGTTTGGGATTTTTTTAAGAAAATTTTAATCTACACAAACATAGTCATTATCCCAATCTGCCTCCTGTTCTGTAGTCCTCCCCAACCTTATCTAACTGCTTCCTTTCTCGGCCTTCATACTATCCTAATACCTCCTTAGTTCACCCCAACCCTTCCAAATAAAAACGCAGCCATCAGATTTCAGGTTAATTTTTTATTTATACTACTTTCCTTCCAAATCAGTGCTTCTGTTTTGACTCTCACTTTCTCTTGATAATATGTCATTTTATTGTACAGTACTATCCCCTATGTCACTTTCTTTATCAAGAGCTTTTTTTCTTCCTACCAAGGAATCTGCCTCTGGGGACAGTGCTCAAGTTGCTGACATCTTCAAATTATTCTATAAATGAACACATTCTGTGAGCTTTTCTAAGTGCAGCAGGGGTAGAGTATGGGATATGGGTGGGTAGAAGGGACTGGGGATAGGGTAAACATGGGTTTTTGTAGGTATGAAAGATGGGTAACTATTAAGTAGAATATTTTTCCTGTTCTTTCACTTAATTATAGAAACGTGGCATATGTAAAACATTCTTTTATATGGGAAACCAAGACTATGAAATATACAGATCTATAGATATTGTTAGGCCTATGTAAATGTAACCACTAAGGTTTTTTAAATTTAGTATTTAGTGCAGAACAACCTTACAAAAAAACACTTTTAAGTTTTTGTTGTTGTTTTCTTTTTTTTTTTTTTTTCCCTGAGCCAGAGTCTTGGTCTGTCACCCAGGCTGGAGTGCAGTGGCGCCATCTCAGCTCACTGCAACCTCTGCTTCCAGGGTTCAAGCAATTCTCCTGCCTCAGCCTCCCGAGTAGCTGGGACTACAGGCACGTGCCACCACACCCAGCTAATTTTTGTATTATTAGTAGAGACAGGGTTTCACCATGTTGGCCAGGCTGGTTTGACCTTGTAATCCACCCGCCTTGGCCTCCCAAAGTGCTGGGATTACAGGTGTGAGCCACCATGCCCAGCCAATAGAATTTTTAAATTTAAAGTTAAAGGATTACAACTGTCATTCTGTTAGCGAAGTACTATACAAATTATCTTCTGAAACCAAGGTTTTCTATCCTTGTAAAAGTTCTTACAATACACCCACTGATCTTTTTAAAACAAACATACGTGCTCATCAGCCTACTGCAATATTTTATCCTGTGAAGGAAGTATTTTCCCGTATAGATTCAGCATAGCCCCACTGACACCTTGAGGCTTCTGGCCTCAAGAACTACAAGACAATGAATTTCGGTTGTTTTAAGCCACTAACCTGTATTTTGTTATGGCAGCTCTAGGAAACTAATCCATCTTTCTAGCCATATTGCTTTCCCCACTTCTGTACAGACTGAAAGCCAACTACTTTGAATTACTGAAACATACCCATCTTCTCTTAATATTTTTGCAAATGGTTTTATTCCATTTAGATATCCTTTCATAAATTAGTAATGAGTTGAACTATTCATTCAAACCATAGCTTCCTAATGAGGCTATCCTCTGATACTTGCAGAGTTAAGCAGTGGCTTCTCGGTGTTCCCGATAACACCTGGTTCATGGCATACTGAACTGTTTAGCATGTTACAGTCGTCATTTTCTGCATGTCGAACATGCTAGTAGACAGAGCCCGTGGTGTGCAGGACTAGTGCCTAGTAGACTATAGGCACTTAAATATTAAGTTAATAAATGAGACTCAAATAATTTAAGAGAAACTAACAGATGTCAACGAAGAAAACTTGGTTGTAGGATATTAACTTTAGTAATACTCTACCAGGTACATATATCATCTCTCTATTAAAAAATAAACCCTCATCTATGAAATTACACCATCAGTGAGAATATATACGACTGAAGAATACCATTCAAGAACAGGACTTACCGGAGGAGTTTTCTGAGACAGCTCTCTATTCAGCCTGTCAGTGAAACTCTGTATTAGTGTGTTTCCTCCAGCCACTATGACACTGCCATAGAGACCCTAGGATAAAAATAAAAGAAAAATCAATTCGTTCCAAATGTTTCCAAAAGTTTTAAATACAACTACAAATATAACCATGTCCTCTACTACAATTTTCCCTTTCTTTTTTTTTTTTTGGAAATGTTTTACTATTATATACACTTAATAGCTTAATCCATCGATCCTTCCTTCCTGGCTATACATTCAACTCATATAAGGAGCTTTTAAAACACAAATTCCTAGGGGCAATTAAATACAAATTTCTGGGAATGGGATCCAGGCAAGATTACTTTAGAGACAGGGTCTCGCTATATTGCCTACACTGGAATGCAGTGGCTATTTACAGGCACAATCATAACGTACCACAGCCTTAAACTCCTGGCTTCCAACAATCCTGTCTCAGGCTCCCAAGCAGCTGGGACTACACGCCACTGTGCCTGGCAGGCATGCTTTTTAACTCCCAAGATTAGTTTAATGTGCACAAAGTTTTAAGAGCCGCTAACTTAAAAGAATCGTTCTAAAAATGATCATATTTTTTGGCAGATAGCTGCCAATAATAGAAGCGTATTTTATAACAGCTTTATCTTAGAATGCTCATCTGGAAAATTTA